ACATTATTATAATGATGTCTATATATATATAATTATATCTCATAGCATCAATCACACTAAAAATTCTACACACTTAGTAGTTCATCATTAATTTTACTATTCGATTATAAATTTTCTGAGTTTTATGAATAAAGAGAATTTGACGAATCAGACAATTTTAATTTTAACTCGTTTCTAATTGCTTAAATTTTAAAGACTGTTCTGAACTTCTTGCATCATACATCAATTTTTTTTTCTTGAACATAGATAAAAAAGAAAAGACCTTCAGCTAAAAAAAATCGGTCTCTAATCTCTAATGCTCAATTTTCAATCTTCAATGCACAGTATGAAGATTGCTTAAGTTTTAGAGAGAAAAAAAGAAAAGAAAGAAAAAAAAGGCGACAGAGTGAAAAATTTTAAATAAAAAAAACAACAGATTTATGTCGATCGATCAAAGGCCGAGCTCGTATGTATGAAACGTTCGTCGGCGTTTTTGATCCTTGTCTTGTATTCTCGCCAAAATCAATCGCGGCTTCTCATTGCAATATGTCTTGCAAACAAGACGCGAGAGACAAAGGACGATCGTTCTAATCGTTTCGGTGAAGTACTGCCGCGAGCGAGAGGCGCGCTCGTGACATGTAATCATCTTTGTACGTTATGGCTGGGTCACGAGCGCGTATATATGCGATCGCGTGAGCGCACGCGTACTCGCGTATCATACATACGCGTATATACATACGCTCGATAGAGGAACGATGGAACGATGTCGCCATGTGGTGCAACATACTCCTCAGGTGTACTAATGGGCGTGATTTTGCCGCCGAGCCACACGACGTCGGACTGTTGGATTCCGCAGCGCTAGCGGTGATTACGCGCGCGGAATATTCTCTCGCGGCATGGTTTAGGCATGTTTTGATTCCCCCGAGAGATTGGATACCTATTTGAAGACGTAATCGCGCGGGATACTGCAATATTCTTAACGACACGATCGTGACATTCGACAACGTGCGGCTATGTTTGAAGATGAAATTTTTATACACATTATTGTTTACTTTAGGAACATTTGCAACTTTCTCGTATCTCTCTGAAAAATTAAGTATCCTCGATGGAAAAAATCAAGAAACTGTTAAAAATGCATATTAAAGAGGAGAGAGTTGTAAAAATTTACTTCTTTTTGATTTCGTTTCGACGATTTATATTTTGTATAAATTATGTGAAATTGGAAATTGTTATTTTTTAAATATATTTTTTCGTTTTATTTATTTATTTTTTTAACTTTGTGCGATTACTTTTCACAATGATATCGAATTTGTTATATAAAAACTCATTTTTATAAAATGTTTTGTAACTATGAAATTAAAAATGTTTTTCTAATAATATATTCGCATAAATTTCTTCAAAATTAAAGACTCTTTTTAATTTAACTCTTCATGAGAAAATTGCAAGTTGTTTCCCAACTATTTATGAACGGTAGCGTATACAAATTATCGTGAAATAACAATTATAAGAAGTTAGATAACAATATTAGATAAGACAAGTCGTTATTTGTTTTAACGATTGTTTCGTAACGATAAAAATAAGTGACTTGCGAATAAATTATTTGTATATCTACGTTCGTTTCAAGACTACAAGGACAACCAATATTTTCCGAACTTATTTATTTTCATCCCGCGTGTTTTATGCTCTCGGGGTTTAGGTTATCGCAAAATCATAGAATTTGGCAAAAGTTCGAAGGCTATCGGGGGATTAGTAGAAAACCTTTTCCGTAAATAGAACACCTTGATTTTTGCAAACACGTGTATTTCGCTGCCCTCGTTCGCGCGCGTGTGAGGCTACTTGAAGACAAAAAAGAACATTTATCATAGCTCGTGGCTTATTGCAAAGTGTTATGCAAGTCGCGTCTACCTCCTCGGTAGAAATTACACTACAGTTAGATACGGCAATGCGACACGTGAAGGAATGGCGTCTGTTACGAGTTCTACAAGCCATTTCGTGCACGAATAGTCGTGGAAAATATAACTAAAATTGTCACGTGACGTGCAATAACAATAATAACGCTAACTAACATTATCGGAAAATAAGTGCAATCATTTCAAAAACCATTCCATGTCGTCCACACTAATGTTACTTTTATCATGCGGCAGTCTTTTAATCGATCGCTTTCAATTCCCGAGTTGCACCTTATTGTGCAACTAGCGACAATTTTCTACAGCTAATCCTATATAATTATTTTGATGGTTCAACAAAATTATTTTCAGGTCTATCTAGCTAAAATTTTAGATATTTCAGCAAAACTGTACCTTCCACATAGATTTTTTTTCAGTTGTACGAATTTTCAAAAATAAGAAATCAGAATAAGTTCTTTTTATCGGATTGATTTAAATTACATTATATTTTTATCAATATATCCCTCGTTATTTGTCAATTCAAGATCATTTCAAGAAGCTAAACAATCATGATAGTTCGCAGAAACCTGTGTCTTCACGATTTTAATTCACGATGTACAAACGAATAGATAACTTTTTCCGACCTCGACACTATTTTGCCGATGCGCGCCGAAGACATAACACGAGAAGTGGATTTTCAACAGCCGGGTCGCGCCGGGAGATCGATCTATCAACTCGCTCCTTTGCCGATGGTAATCAGTAATCATTGGTGTCATTGAAGAAGAGAAACAGTGCCGAGAGAGGCCAGCAATTAAATACAACATTTACGGTGCTGCACGCGTTCGCAGCATCCTTCGTCAATATTGACACAGGAACGAGCGATACAGCGCGAATGAGACTTATTGTCCATGATGTATTGAGAAAACTGTACGAGTGCGCTCGATATTTTATATTCTATACACATATGCTGTATATACACGGCGAAATAAGAAAAAGATCTACCTCCGCCAAGGATCGCATTGTGCGCGGAAACGCAATTTACGTCGTGCATTTAATGACTGTTTAGCGAGACGATAACTGTTTCGCTGAAATACACCTCAAGAGGATGCACTGCAAATATCCCGCGAGTTCTAGAAATACCATCAAGCGCTTTCAGCATGAAAATTCATAGGAGATCTATACGGTGGTTAGCATAGCATTTACAAGTTAAACAGATTTTAAGATCATATGGAAGGACAAGAATAAACTTGGAGGGATTCGAGCATAAGTAAACTGCATTTATACAAAACAATGTTTCACGGGAATTTACATAATACTCCCGGGGAGTTGAATAAAAGAAAAATTACGTAATACATATTGTTCACGTAATCACTGCGAGTTGTTCAGTAATCGCGATTATATGACTATGACACATTATAGGCATTGCTGGATGATTTTAATCTAGGAATAATCACCTAATTTTTTTTACATAAACGATTATGTGAAGTATTTTTCACAATTCAATTAAAAATCATTATTATTATATAATTATTATATTATTATATAATTCATTATAAAAATAAATAAATTCGCTAAATATTTGCTATTTATACATTATTATATCTAGTAAATTGTTTAAATAAAAAGTGTGTTATAATAAAAAGTTTTGCATTTAATTTTTTTAAAGAACGTACTGAATATTATCAGTTTACTTGTTAGTAAATCACTAAAGAGAAATATGAAAATTGGCTCAACATATAAAATATGACATTCTACGCGAATATTACGTTAAAAAAAACGATAGTAAGGTTAATTACATATTATATGTTACTGATCTATATTTTATCTGTATTCAAGAATTTTATGAATATACAGATTTAATATTTCCTAAAAAAATGAAGGGAAATAAAACATGGGATGAATTCCTGATCAATAAAGAAAACTATTGTGAGATTAAGTTCTATTTTCTTACTACTGAATGTAAAAATCAAGTGACTGTTCTCATGTGAGTTAACATGTGACATATTCGAGCGTTAACCGCAAAAATCCATATCGCTCAGGTCGTTACTTCGAGACACGCGTGTTTCTGGCTTTATCAGACCTGTCTCGCCCGAAATACTCGGTCCATTTTCTCTTCTCGTTCTTTCCCTTCTTATCTCTCTTCTTCTGTTTTTTTTCTTTTGTCGCCTTTCCTTTCCTTCCGACGTACTGACGAATCAATTCCGCGGCGGCACGAAATTCTCACGGGATCTCTCTCGCAATAAATTACTGCTTGAGGACGTTAGTTTGCCGACCTCCGCGCTCGCACACGAAAACGAGTTTCTCAGTCGTCGTCGCGCGAGCAAACAGGCGCGATGACAAGTAACCGAGTCCCCGCGATTAGCATACTCATGCGGGTAACCGAATTCAGCTGAGTGCACTCCAGGGCACCGTGCCGCCGATTGTGCGATCCCCCGCGTTCGAGATATCATATCGAACTCAAAATGTTTCAACAATACTCTGTTTCGCTTTATCATATTTGTTGTATTTCGTACGGTATCTTTTTGTATCACGTATTTCATTCTGAACAATTTTAGTGAAATGCAAAAAAATGGAATTGAATAAAATAACGCAAAAAAAATTTGCTTATAAGATAAATTATTAAAGTAAATAATATTTATCTATTTGCATACATTACGTATAGGTAATAGAATTTGTGATATTCCGAGGAACGATTCGCGCACTATTATCATCAAATTATCTTCAAATAGCTAGATATGTATCTATATATATATATATATATATATATATATATACACACACACACACACACACACACACACACACACACACACCACACATAAAGTATCTTTTGTAATATTAAACTTAATAAAAATTTGTATTTACTATTTCTTTATTGTTAATATTGAACATATTATTATCAACATTGAACATGTTATTTGTGATATTATAAATGAGAATTATCTGGGAATCGATGGAAAACAACTGATATCTAATCGAATAATAAAATTAGCGCATTAGCTATTGAGATGTTAAATATAATCAACGGCTGCTTTAAATCCGAACTAAAATAAAAAAAGCCAAAAATCGTTCATCGTTAAATCGCAAAGAGATTTTATCGAAAAGTTCAAGATTCAAAATGTACATTTCACTTACCGGATTCTTCTGTCTCTAACTCCTCTTTGAATACTTGAAGGGTTTCAGACACGTTCGTTTGGTGATAGCAATGGTCGATGAGGGTGCTCTTTTTGATATTGTATGCCATCTGCTGTTGTATTTCTTCGTGCTTCTTTCGAGTGATTCGTTGATTGTCCTCGTTCAACGGATTTTTGATTGCCATCGGTGATGGTAAAGTTTCTAATGATGATGTTGAAGCTTCTGATAATGATGATGAAACTTCTGATGATGTATATGAAGCTCCTGATGATGTATATGAAGCTCCTGATGATGTGTATGAAGCTCTTGATGATAATGGTTTCAGTAGTGATGGTGACATCCGAACTGAAAACTGTGCCATCATCTGAGACATGTTGAGCTGATGTTGAAAGCTCACTTGCTGCTCTTCTTTTATAGCAATTCTTGAATCAGTCTCCTCGTCTTCAGAGAAATCAATCTGGAAGGAATCACTTTGCTTCCACGAGTGCCACTCCTTCAAGTACTCCTCCTCGGTCATTTTAAATGCTTTCGAAGCTTTGTTTTTGCAGCGCGTTAAATAGTCATCTTCTTCGTCTGACATATAGGAAAGGCAATTATCTGTCTCTGAAGATTTTGAGGGAATTGGATTATCTGCCTCTGAAGAATTTGAGGGAACTGAACTATCTGCTTCTGAAGAAGCAGAATTTAAGGGAATTGGACTATTTGCCTCTGAAGATTTTGAGGACATTGGACTATCCGCCTCTGAAAATTTTGAGGGAATTGGACTACTACATTGAAAATTTTTAGAATTTTTAATTTTAGTCCGAATGGTACTGAGTGATGCGTGATACACTTCAATGAAATCACGGGAGCGTTTTATGGGTCTCAGTATTACGTAGGGAGATCTTCTATTCATAAAGACTTGGCGCTTTAAGAGTTTGATTTTACGTGCCGCGGAATAAGATTTAAACTGTTGATCTTCAAAGTCTATGGTTTTTTGGGGAAGAGGAAGAGTTTTACTTTCTGAATTAGAGTCTTCCAAATTGAACAGTTCATTTTTTTGTGAACAGTTTTCTTCGTACAGCGAGTATGCCGATTTCGAAATCGGCAACGAATCGAAGTCTATCGGCTTCTGATTCTGGTACAACTGTGAGAGCTTTGGCTCATCCAGCTCGAACTTTCCAATTAAATTCCCCAATTGTAGGATCAGCTTTATATCATCCAGCTTTATATTCTTCAGTAAATCAAACAAAGATACCGGTTTTGAATCATATTCTTCCAAATCCAACACCTGGTTCGGCGTTGGTGCTTCTTTTGGTTGTGGATTCAACTGGGGCTCCGGTTCTGGTTCCGGTTCGAACTTCGGCTCCGGCTTCGGCTGTACCTGCGACTGCAATTGGTTTCTTGTACGTCTTTCTTCAATTGTGTTTGTAGTACTCCTTGTTTGTTGTGATCGTTCCTGATGTAAAACATTGTTGCGATAGTCATTCCGATTGTTGTTGCGATTATCTGAAACATAAGAAATTAATTTATGAGTTTATAAAACAAACTTTTATGTAATACTTAATTAAATTATAAAATATTATAGTAAAGTATTATTTAAAAATTGTAGCTTTAAGCATCTCATTACTACATATTTAATTTTTTATTAATAACAAATTAATTTATTATAAATTTCTTTGCAATATGATACAAAAGATTATGTAACTGATACACATTCAGCAACTTTCTTCTATACTTAAAAATTCAAAAATTCATCTATATCATTCATATATATCATTTTTATAGCAATAAATCATTAATTAACAAGAACATAAGAATTTTGTCTTATGCTTTGCAAAAATTAATATAATCAATATAATAGTAAAAAATTAATCCAATGACATTAAATAGAAGACGTTTAATCAATTAAATTTATAATTTAACTTAAATATATTTGTATTAAAATAATTAATCATCAAAATTGAATTCAAGTCTTATGAGCAATTATTCAAATAAAAAATTATTATGAAATTATAAATGAAAATAAAAAAATATAAAATTCCACAAGTATCAAAAATACAAAATTTAATTTGAGATTAATTTGAGATAAATTTAATTTGAGATGTACAAGTATCAAAAATAAATTTTTTATTTTTGACACATGGAATCTTAAATTTTTCTATTTTAACATTTTTTCTTAAATTTAGTTGTTTAATGTTATTGAAGTTTTTACTTTTTAGTATTCTTCATTGTTGATTGCAAAATGTTGCGATAGAGTAAAGTACAGAATTACATCACGTACCGTAATGCTAGCATCGTGTGTATCAATAACGTATAACATGCAATTAATGATTTCGAAAATAGGAATAAAGATTGCGATATTGTATTGCGTAATACTACGAAAAGATGACCTTCTTATTATACTTGTTTTCCGTCATTTCTTTATTCGTTTTTAATTTTTTATAAAATTGATCAATATTATATACAAAATATATTAATAAATGAAATATATATTATACAATATTAAATTAGAAAGAAGAATCTCTCTAAAATATGGATATTATTGTTATATTTACCTTGAAACAAATTATAACTATATATTACAGTGTTTAAATTTAATTAGGGAATAAACTCGCGAATGAAGTTTAAGTTGACTTGCGTGTATTTGAATGATGTAGTAAGTAGAAAAATTGAAGAAGAAAAACAAAAAAAAATTTTGCAAACATATATATATATATATATACATATATATATTTTGTAGATAAATAACGGAGCGAAAATAAAATAGGTAACATAGTATCACAAAGTGACAAATTATTATTTACAAAATTATTCTGACCATTGATAAACTGATGTCTAGTTGTCACTCAGGATAACTTTTTATCTGCATGGAAAACTACTAGGTATGTTCGACATGATTTATATCCCTTCGAAATACATTTTGAAGCTAAGTATACGATTTTTAATGTTACTATTTAATATTACGTGCAACGATGCATCATCAGTCAACATCCAACATTTCTTTCTGATCTAATTCAACCACAGCATTTCGTAATTGAAACGTATGTATCTCGTGTCTTGTCGATATAAATTTTGTCTACATAACTTTGTATGCAGTATAATATATTATCCCTTACTTCAAAATTATGACACAGCTGATGTAATTTTCGAATTATAAATGAGTAGATAAAGAATACTCTATCAATTAACAAAAGTAAACTAACTTTACAATTCATCCGTCAATAGCATTTGTGTTGTTCTTTTTCAAAGATTTTCAAAGAGATCATAATATCTTCTACAGAGTAATACATTTTGATCGTTTTTGTAATTAAAAAAGAAAACTATAGAGAACATTTAGGGTTAAGTATATTCTTTTAAAATAAAAGAATGAATTAAAATAAAAGAATATGTAGTCTAGCCCGAGTACTTTCTTTACAACAATGAAAATGATCGAGGAAACATAAAGAAAAATGACATTAATCTATTATATCAAACTTCCTATTATTATATTAACTATTTAAAATAAGCCGAAAACAAATAAAGCAAAAATAATTGCGTATTAATATTATGTTCTTCTCGTAACAATTAATTCATTTGTGGCACAGAATTAAATGGCTAGTAATTCGGGAGAGATCAGTTGGAATCAACCCAATGACATGTCTTTATGAATTCAGTTTAAGATACGGGAGCAATTGCGGCGATTGAAAATACACGGAAACGCCAGTTATATGGCATGATGATTCATCGCTGTTCCAGTGAGATGCGTTGCGATTTAAGATCGCAATTTCGCCTAAAGCAGATGGGAAACTGTGTACAAATGACGCCTGTAGGTGATCCGTATGAATCATGATTACAGAAAGATCAATTCTACTGATATTTACGTGCCACCATACTTTCCCTTTCTCCCATATTTGCAAGTTTATCAAATATTCCATCAAACGTTCGTTTAATGATTACTCATTATAGTCATTGCAGTTTGTTACATACTCGACTCAATTTTTTATTTTTTAAACGATGCAAAATGATCTTCTCGTGTTAAAGTATTAATAATTAGTTAACTCGTTTGTATTCTACAATAGACAGATTTTTTAACACGTGAGACAAGATATAAACAATGATACTCGAACACTGCTTAAAATGAATACTCTCAAAAATTTTTAGAGTGAATCTCACTTTGAAGAGTGAATCTCGTTCAAGATAGAAAACTAAGCCTCTCTTTTTTAAGATTAAATTTTCACTTTTTAGAGTGAGATTCCACTCGAAAGAATTTAGTGTTATGAAAGAAGAGAGAGATTATATTAATTTATTTATTCTCTTGAGGGAACAAAAAAAGAAAACAGATTACATAATAACATTAAAGTAAAAAATGAATAAAAAAAATTTCAATTTAAAAAATCAACCAAACTTGGAAAGATAGAATTTAATAAAAGAAAATGTCAGAAAAATTAAATTTAATGTATCTGATTTAATATATCCTAACAACATCAAAAGTCATTACTTAGCATGTTACGATGCAATATGCAATAAAAATTATATATCTAATGAATTAGCTCTCATGTAAATATATCTCGTGTTACAATGATCTTTATATCCTAATTTCATACGTTTCCAACAATATTGACAGTTTGTCAGAAAAAAAGTTTAAAAGTAATCGATGTGGGAGACAAAGCTTTGAGGACCAAAGAAAGACCATTTTCGACCCGGCGAAAAAAAAACTTCTCTCATGGCTCCGAGCACGCGGACAACAAATGATCGCGCACGCAAACAGACATATGTTGACAAACGGAACGACTTAATTATCCACTGTCACTTGGCGTGAGAAAATTACAAAACTCAATTCTTTACTTTTTTTTAACTGCTTGAAAGAAAAATGTATGAATTAAATAAGATCTGTCCGAAAAGTCGTATAAAAAAATTATTTTATTAATACATATTTGATCGCATTTAAAAAAATAATTTATTATTATTATTATCATAATTATGCAAAAATGATGCTGAAATTGTTAATCTAATGAAAACAAATTATTTACAGAATTGTAATTTATAGAATTACAAAGGCACTAATACATTTTTTTAAAAAAAGGAAAAAAAACGATAACAAAAATTAATTCTTACATTTTTCGAAGATAGATTTTATGAACACCCTATATACTATTGTACTGATCTGCCTTTATAATGCTATCGTCCTGACCTATGTCTATGGCGCTATGCTGAACTTGTCTTTAAGTTACTGACCTATCTCTATTTAATCAAGTATATTTAACAAGCTTAAATCAAGAGTCAACGAGATAACGAATATATGTGTAAAAGCTTCATTTCTTTTTGGACGTTCAATTCACAGTTAGGTAGTTGTATAAAATTGAACAAGTATTGACAAATGGAAATCAATGCGGCAGTAGAGATTAAAATGTATATTCTACGTGCTTCTAATGAGTTAACCCCTTCGTTAACCTCGTTATCGCAGAAATGTAAAATCCAAAAGGAATATCCGCAATATGTCGCATCGCAAATGATATCTGAGCCGAACGGATCGTAATGGGTCTCTATTATGTAAGAAAAATATCGTTATCTTTGCCCTTGCATGCCCCATCAGCGAAGATATAATAGTGCAAAGTCCGAAGTCGCGCGGCGACTGTTTAATAATTAGTTATTATCTGCCACCTCTCGCGACACTATTTATAGAGTTAGACGCTACTCTTACGATTAATTTCGACTATCGACACTACTGACAGATGCGTGACAATACGGGCATAATAACTAAAACATTCGTCCGAATAATGACAATAGCATTTACAATCACGTCATATAAAATCTAAAGAATTTGCTACATTAATCACGGACTGCAATCTAATTTGTCAAGTTTTTGATACAATATAAATATTAATAAAAATTAATAAAAAAAATAAATAAATAAATAAAAAACGTATTTTTTAATTTCTTTATTGAATTTAATTTGCCACCGGAATCTGTTCTGTTCGTTCGCAGATGAGGCGCGTTTCGTCGCGGTTTTTTTCTCCTTTTTTAGGAAAAGTAATTTCATCGGCGGCGTAAAATCGCCGCGGCCGAATCGTACCGCGTCACGCGGGAGAGAAATTATTCGAGCAGAGCAGATCTGATAAGTGCTGGAGAACCGCTTTCGTTCGGACTTTCGAAAACGTGCGACGTGCGCGTGACGCGCGACACGATACGCAGCGTCGCGATCGAACCTTAATTGCTGCCTATACAAGTCGCGAGGAATGGAGAACCGGTCCAAGTGCAGATAGCTAAGTACGCTCGGCTTCCGCCGAACATTATCGCTCGAGCGTGTAACGAGTCGACTTTTCTATCGGATGCTAATTAAGGGTGAGTCGGCACGAAAAACTGGAACAGCGAAAAATCGCACGGCAAACTGGCTCGGCGATTAAGTCGAAACAGCGCGTGCTTTCCGTCGATGATCGATGAAAGCTTCCACGTGCAAGTACTCGAGTTTTTTTATCACGTCAAATGGCCTTAAGTCGGTATATCGAATGAGGAATCGACATGACGCGCTTACAGAAAAATCACGACGGTAATTAAAGTTGCAAAAATAAATTAGCAATTCTCGGAAAATAAATCGGAAAATACCAAAAATACTTTACAGAGATAGATGAACTGAAAGATTCTTTTTGGCAATATATTTAAAAAATTCGCAATCGTGATTTTCGAAGAAAAAAGACAAGTAAATAAACATATAAGTATAAAATAATAAAAAAAAAATGTTTAAGTAAATAACAAAAGAAATAAAAAAATATAAGTAAAATATGCTTTTCTCTGTAAAATGTATGAATAGAAAACACGAATGTATTTGACGCGGATTAAAAAAAAAGAAGGTATTGTCCATTTTTGATGGATCGGTAATTTTTTGCTCCGGTAAAAATGACGCGTCTTTTTTTTTTAGTACAAATTCGTAAATGCTTTTTCCGATGAAGATATAAATAGACAAATACACAAAAAACGTACATGTCGCACATATCCGAGATGAGTTTAAAACCGAAAGAAGGCACCGTGTTTTTAATAAAATCGCTGAAAACTTGCACGCGGATCTTTCTGATGGAAAAATAAATAAGAGCAAAAATATCTAAGAATAAGTAACGAATAGACAAAAATAGACAATACGAAGAATTCGTATCCTTCATTCATTTTAGAAGTCGGAAATAGAATTTGCCGACTATTTATAAATCAAATAAAATTTCCGAGCGACTGATTGACGATATAATCGTTTCAATGCGGGATACAATATATTATATGTTTACAATATAATATACATAACATAACCTTGGCCATAAATATAAAAAACACCTTCAAAAATTGATATATCTATCGAAAATTACATTTCAATAAAAAAAAATATTTTTATAACAGTTTATTTTGTCAATCCTTTTTACTACAGCCAATATTTTTTTAAGAAAATAAATTGAAAGTTTTCTTTATACTTAACAGCTAAGGCTGTGTATATAGCTAAAATAATATATAGCTAAAGTAAATAATAAATTTATATAGCTAAAGTAATATTATTAAAATGTAACGTTTATGCGCGAGAGAAAATCCACGCGACTGGAAAAGAAAAAAAAACAGATTAAGAAAGACGATTCGTGCGTCGTATTTTGCGCTTGCCAGAAAGATTTCAGAAAGATTCGCGCGCGCGTAAGTATAGAATCCGCGTCGTAAAGTGCGTCTGTTTCATGCGTACGTTTCCGTTTGCGTGCGGAGCAACGCGATCGTCTTACCGGCAATCCCGTCACGGTTCGTAAAGAGCCTTTTAAAAAGCGCAACACGGGCAAATTGGATTCCTATGAGCAAGCGCACGCGTCATACTCATTCCCATCGATTCCCGATAAACTCGAGGCAGGTAGGTAGGTAAGGTTCGATGAACCAGCCGCGCGCGTGAAACCGCGCACAAGTACACGGCCCACGTTAATTATAGAAGTTACATGATAATTTTGTTATTTTTGTTCGTATTTATATTCTACGTTTTAGTCGCACGTGAATTCTCTCGCTACAGTTTCCCTAAGTTATCCTATTAAGCTTCATGCAAACTTATAGTCATTGAATTGAGATGAAGAAAGAAACAAGGAATACAAGTAACTCAACGTTGTACACATACCGATTATTATCTTCATATGTTTCCCTCTTTCCGATCTCATTATTGGATCACAGTATACCATACGTATCAATTCAGCTTTAGAGCCTTCTCGGGGGAGTAGCAAAGCTCGCTTATATGTTTTTGCACTTGTTAGTAGTTTGCACTCTTTAGAGTTTGTCAACATTCGAAGGGACTTACAGTTTAACGCCGAACGCGAAAAAATCGCGTATACGGGACACAGGTGGGATCGAACCCGGATTCACAGATCATGAATCAATCGCACTGAGCGGCGAGCCATACCGATTGTTCGTATGCATTGTAGCAGCATTAGTGTAGCACATTACCAGTAGTTCACAGTGCCGTACATTCAATACGGCGTTCAAGCTTTATGTCGAGAATTAAGATTCATGTGAACAATAATTGATAGAACCAAGTTGCTCCACGTAATTGAAGTTTGCGCGAACAATTATCGAGTTTTCAATCTACTAGTATGACTAAAAACAGAATCTCATCCAGTAAATTAAATAATAACATCATATTGGAAAGAGAGTTTGGTTATATTAATTGAAATTCTGATAAGAAATGAACATATTAAAATGTTCTGAATTGAATCTATTATAATTTTAGTCAAGGTAAAGTAAAGGCAAAATTCTAATTGATATAATGATCTTCTGGTTCGTTCAATTTTTCTCAATGCAATTTCATATTCAATATAAATGTACTCTCTAAAGTCTTTGGAATGGAATCTCATTTCAAAGAGTGAAAATTGATGTAGACTTCAAAAAGAGTGGCTTCATTTTTAATTTTTAAGAGTAAAATTCATTCTAAAAGTTTTAGAAAGTAGTTCGAAATATGTTATACATAATGGTTACACTATGAAATTATAGCATCGACGTTTATGTTATTGTCATGTTACTGGATATAAATTCTGCAGTGGACAAAGCGACATGTTGGGATCGACTGACCTGCCGGCCGGCCGGCTCAACGTGAACGGTTTCTTCTAATGTAAACCTGACAACAGGTCACCTGGGGTATTTGAAAAAACGTGAATTATTGTAAAATACATGTTACTTTTTTCCCTTTCTATTCATACTTTCTAAATTCTTTTTGGAGTGATCTTATTCTATTATTCTATTATGAAGAGAAGTCTCTCTCATTCTAAAGAATAAAAATTGAAGGTCTCGTTACTTAATATACTTATTTCCTTTGTAATATTTGTTTGGTTTCTACTTTTTTTTCCAGAAAATTGCGAGTAAATTCATATTCGTAATGTCCTCAAAAATACTGATAAGTCAGAAAACAGTTAATATCATGTTTAATTTCAAAAGTGATACAACCAAAAAAATTAAGTTTTTCAGAAAAAAGGAAAAATTATTTTTCAACTTAATAAAAAATTATTGACCAATCAAATAATAATCAGTAAACACAATATTAGAAATATGATTAAATGTAATTTGCTCGCCGCTGAAATAACAGGCTGTGTGACTATTTTCAAATTAAGATCGAACCTTCTCATGCATTGTTTCAATTTATAGAGCAACGTATAATCAATAGGTCCGAGATTCAATTAATTCTCATTCGACATTTAAGACTTAATAAGATTTAGATCTCGATTGAAAGTTAAGGATTGAAAGTTTCGAAAATATCGCAATGAAATTCTCCGCAATGAATATTCGAACATTAAAAAAGAAAAACTTACAAGAATCATTTGGTGTCAACAATAGTTGCAACTGCTGGTAAAGTTGCTGCTGCTGCTGCTGCTGCTGTTGTTGCTGCTTCCTCCTCCTCTCTAAAGTCTCCAGCAATTCCTGCAGCTCCTGCTCTTGATCCCGCAGCTGTTTACAAAAGAATTGGTGGTAATAATTCGCATCTGCAAAATCTTTGTCATCGTGGACCTTCGTGACTACTGCAGGTGCGATCGGCAACAGCATTGTTGTTTCCATTTATAAACTTAAAGGCTTTAATCTCGATCGATTTATCAACACACCGCACTCCACCGAGGACAAGTTTCTCTCTATCGATATCACACTGCGATGCACTTCACTTTCAAAGCGAATCCACTCACGGGTCGAGAGAAAAAACTCAGAAAAACACTCTATTTACATATGTGTATCTCTCTTTTAACTATCAGCAACTCCCTTTGTTTATTACTCCCCCGTTCGTTCTACTCTTCGCGCGCGACCCAAGAACGTGACACTGTCGCGAATCGCGAAGCTGCGTGCTCGGCACGCGTGCGCGTATGCGCGAATTCGCGAGAGTCGCCGTACGTACGGTCGTGCGTGCGTGCGTGCGTGCGTGCTTGCGTGCGTGCGTGCGTGCGTGCGTGCGTGCGTATGTATGTGTATGCGTGAGTGTGTCCGGGGGAACGAAAAAAAAAAGCGTTTATTATAATATTCGGTGATCTTGCCGTTTATACATCCTGCTCGTTTTACTGTCACTGACAGTGTCGCACCGAAACGATATATTATTACCGCGATCACTACTACTAGTACTAGTGATGTCACTGTCGCTGCCTCTGCTGCCACTGTCGTACTGTGTCAGACGAGGGATGAATTTCATTATCGGCGCGCGCGCGACACTCCGGCGACACTCTTAGGCACCTACCGGCTTTACCACGATCTCTTGGCACTGTCACGCGCACTGTCAGACCCGGCGAGCGTATAACGTACCTCACCTTGCGGCAGATCAGACGAGACTGAAGTGACTGAACTCACTGAACGCTCGCATACAGCGATCTTCCATCTTACGAAGACGTACCCCCACCCGTTGGCGCTGTCGTCACCGCTGCCTCGGCAGGGACGGCGTCGATTCTCAGGGCGCCTGCGTCCACCAATACGATATTTTTCAGAATAACGTAGAGGAAAAATCCTCTATGCTATTGACAGAGATAAGTTCGAAGACGATTCCTTGAATAACAATATATGCTTTTCCAACATAGGATTTTCCAACGTACCCGAAATCTGTTATTCCTATTACCTGCTTTGTCTTTTCTCAGGCTATGAACTGTCACTATTTTTTTGATTAATGATCAACTTAACAATGAGAGATACTATACATGTTCGGAATTTAGTTAAGGTTGGAACACAGACTTTTGCAATTAATTAATTATAGTTGTTTATTTTATAGGTTTTCTATATTTTTTCTCAATTTCTCTTTTTTTCCTTGATATTTGTTAAATAATTCTGTTTAATCTTTCATTATTCGCGTGGGGTGTCCATTCCAATTGTATAAATTCACTTTTTCATTTATACATGTTATTATAAAGGGGAATCAAAAAGCGAAAACGCGTTTTAAAACGCGATTTGTTACAAAACATAAAATCTATATATTAAGAATCTCTAATTATAAAAAAATCCTGCCAAAAATAAAGTTTCAAAAGCTAGCGGATATACACATATTAAAAAATGCATCAAGTTTTTGTATATTATAACTACATATATAATTTGGTATATAGTTAGAGATATTATTAGAGAAGAAATATTATTATTGTAATCAAAATTAAGTAAGTAGAATTCTTAAAAGAATTTATTATGTCGATTACGATAAAGAAAATATTTGTGATTATAGAATCTATTGTATTAAAGTTACACATATATACACACAATTTATATAAATCATTAAAGATCTAATCATTTTTTAATTATGTTATTCAATTATGTTATTTATTTAATACTTACGTGAATAATAAACAAATATAAAAATTTTAATGTTATCGAAACGATTAATCACTTGATAGCATAACAAATCTCAAGAAAAAAAAGAAAAATATTATATGATATTTTAGGATTAATCAACTTTTGTCCGATGTGTAAGTGGTATAAAATAGAGTCCATTGCAGTTTTAGTTTAAAATTGATGTCAGAGACTCATTAATATATTTATTTTTGAAAGAATTAAAGGATATCTGAACTTAGGATTTAGAATTCTTAATCTGAGCACGAAGATTTATATCTTTTGCCATTTTGCCAATGGCATTTTAAAAGCGCGTTTCAATTTTTGATTCTTTTCTTATAAACTTAAATTGTTTCAGAATTTTTTTTTAAATTGCATTTATCTTTATTTAAAGCATATATATATATATATA